GGTTGACCAGGCACCTGCGGGAGCCGTCGGGCGGAAGCAGGCGAGGCGTGTGCTCTACGCAGCTCGGCGAGATGCGGCCTCCGCTGCCCCCGCGACGCGCCGAGCTGCCGCCGCGACGCAAACACGGCCAAGGCGAGCGGCGCCGCCCCCAAACCGACGCCCTGACGCACCTGCAGGCAGCGGCCGTAGCCGCGAGGGCGCGCCCTCCGTCGTGCGAATGCGAGCTTTGACCACGCGCGTGTGCGGCCGCCGCAGCGTTGGCGTCAAACGCTGCCGCCCCGCATCCCAGCTGGCCCCGCCCCCTGACCCCTCCACCTGTGCTCGATGACCAAGCCGGGCAGCTCGTGCAGCGGCGCCAGCTGGCGGAGCGCCGGCTCGTCGGTCGGGGCGTGCGTCTTGGCCGCGCCGCGGGCGCCTTGGCGGGGGGCGTGGGGGCGAGGTGCGCGCGAGGGCGGCGATGGTTGTATCAACTTAGAGAAGCCGCATGGAGGAAAAACCATGGTTCTGGGGGGTCCTCGCTTTGTCGGTGCGCGTGAAAGCTGGGGCCAGGGCGGCCACAGGCAGGCACTGCAGCAGAGCAGGGGACGCTCCCACGAGGCACACGGCGCAGACCGCCCGAGCGCGCGCGGTGGGCGGGCGCAGGGGCTTGCGATCGACACAACACAGCGGACGCGCATGGGGCGGTGTCCGCTGGCACGGGCAAGTCTGCTGTGATCTTGTGAACAAGAGCCTGTTGGGCGCGCACCTGTGTTGGCCGGCAGGGGCAGGCGCAGGTCTTCGTACAAGACTGCCGCCAGCTGGCCGGCGGACGCGATGTTGAAGGGGCGCCCTGCCAGCGCCTCGGCGCGCGCTGTGGGGGAGAGGACAGTGAGGGTGTGGAAGGATCTGTAAAGAGTGTGTCAGTGAATACAAGTGTGTGTGTGTGTGTGCGTTCGTGCGTGTGCGTGTGTGCGTGTGCATGTGTTTGCATGCGTATGTGTATGTGTGAGGTGGGGAAGAGCATGTGTAATTGTGCGTGAGGCAAGCGAGGCGGCCGGAGGGAAGACGTTGCGGCTCCCCACTCTGGGCATCTCACGCAGTCTCGTCCCTGCTCGATGTGCCATACGCATCCCCAAGCAACCCGACCCCAGCGCCGCCCCACCCGCCCACCCTGTATCGCCGCCATCCGCGCCACGATGGCGGGCCGGTGGCCGGCCAGGACTGAGGGGCAGCAGCCGACGCCAGCAAGCTCCATTTTCGCCAGGACTCCCGCCATCTGCCATTTAAAAAGAGGGGTGCTCGCATGAGGTTGCTTTGGTGATCAACCGGCTTTGAGTAGTGTTTTAATGTCGCTGGACTCTTGCTGAAAGGTGGCCACTCATGTGGCAAGATGCCGGGGGTCGAGGCAGGGGTGGAACGGGGAGCCGAGCCGCTGCGGAGAAGGGCGACTTTCCAAGACACGGGGCGGGAGGGCCCCCCGCCGCGGCACGCACCTTGGTCTCCAGCCGGATGGCGGCCGCCGACACCCGTCCCCTCAGCCGCGCCGGCAGCGCGTCGGCCAGCCGCGCTGCGGCCGCCATCTGGCGGCACATCGCGCGCAGCGGCGCCGCGTCCTCGTCCGCCGCCGCCCCGTCCTGCGATCGACGGCGCCGGTGTGGCAGGGGCGAGGGGTCCCAACGAGAGAGCTCGAGGTTGAGCGCCTCTGCTGCCAGCGACCAGACGGCCAGCACTGGCGGCACCGGGCTGCCCAGGCCGGGCGAGTCATCGGGAAGCTGCCCAAGCCGCCCCTTCGTTCAAGGTCGTAGGCAAGCCCCGGCGTGCGCTCGTTCCTCCCAATCCCCCCAGTATCCCAGGCGCCGCCCGCGTCAGCGGTGTGACGGGATATGGATGTTAAGTAGCGTGCGGACTCGACCCACACACCTGCTGCTGCTGCCCCGGCGGCGCCGCTGCTGCCGCCTGCAGGCCATATTTGGTGAGCAGAAGATCCAGCTGGTAGGACCCAGACTGCGAGGGTGGTTCAGGAGCCACGGAGGGCGAGGAAGGTGGGCCTGGCCGCATCCATTGGCAGCGCACTCACCCAAAGGCATGTGTGGGGGGCAGGCAGGCAGCCACGTCTGGGTGCTAAGGGGGCCGAAGGCTTTGCACATGCGCGCAGCAACCTTGAGACCATGGGTTGACCAGATCAAAAAGGGCGCGCCTGATGCGCGGTCCATCTGAAACAGGCTGCACATGCGCACGCATGCAGGCGCACGTAACCGCATGCAGGCATACCCACGTACATGCAGGCACATGCACACATACACGCGCACACAGACACAGATACACACATCCCGCCCCCCTCCCCCAGCTCATACACACACATGAATGTACATGCACATGTACACAATGTGAGTGTCGCACATGCCCCCACATGTCCCCATGCCCCCTCTGCGTAAACGCAGCAACCCACCTGCTGAGGGTCCACCATCCAACCCTGCGGCCGCGTAGTGCGCCCAGCGCGGCAGATCGTTTGCAGCAGGCAATAGGTGTGCTTGGCGCAATGTGCTCGCTTGCGGATCATGCGCTGGGACTCATTGCTGACCATTGCAACACACATGAAGGGTTGTCAAAGAACGGCCTGCCCAGGGACTCACCAGCACGAGAGGGTCCACCAGTGTGAGGTCAGCCGCCGCCGGCAGCTGCAGCCCCAGCCCCGCAAGCGCGACCAGCGCCGCCTTGGCGTCGCAGCACACGCACGGCGCGCCGCGCCCGCAGCCCGTGAGCGCCAGCCGCAGCGCGGCGAGCGCCGGGGCCGCGAGCGCCGCGCGGGCGCCGTCGGGCGCGGTTCGCAGGACGTAGCAGCTGCCGCCACCGGCGCCAGCGCCCTCGCCGGCGCTGCTGGCGGCAGCCCTGGATTGCGGCTGGGCTTGTCCTTCACCGTGCCATGGCGGCGGCCGCGGCGGCGGAGCTGGTGATGCAGCTGCGGCCGACCGGGCGCTTTGGTTGTCGTCAGCGAGCGGCATGAGGGCCACCCCAGCCACCCAGCTGAAGCACCCGGCTGGCAGCCCGCCGGACGCCGCGCCTGCCGCCCCGCCGTCGTCGTCCGCCGCCGCAACCGCAGCCGGCCCGCCGCGGGCCGCCTTCCGCAGCTCTTTGAGCTGCGCCTTGCTGAGGCCCTGGGAGGCGGGGTAGTAGAACCTCGCCGGCCCGCCGCCCTCCGCGGCTGCAGGGGCGTCCGCCGCCATCAGCAGCTCCAGGACCCAGCCCCGCGCGCCGCGCACGCACGACTGCAACGCCGCCCAGGCGGCGGGCGCGGCGGCGTCGAGCGCGCGGGGCGCCGCGGCGGCGCCGCCCTGGGCGGCGGCTGACTCCTGTTTGAGAAGGTCAAGCACCGTCAGTGCCGCCGGTGGCAGCTGCTTCTGCGCCTTTGCGGCACGGCCGCTCCGGCCGCCGCCTGCGGCTGAGCCCGAGGCGCGCCTCTTCGCGCCACCACCGCCGCCGCCGCCGCCGCCGCTTCGCGCTGCGCCGCCGCTGCCCGCGCCGCCGCCGCGCGCAGCTCCCCCGCTGGCAGCCGCTGCCGCACGTGCAGATGGTGCCACGGCCTCCTGCCACTGCGGGTTCTGAAAATCGTCGTCATCATCCTTAGAACCGTTGGCCCCTGCGCCCTCCCGCTGCGCCTGCTGGCCGCCCTGGCTTGGCAGCGTCCCCTCGCCTTCCCTCTGGACCCCCGCATGCCGCTGCCCCTCCTCTCCCTGCCGCTTGGCCTGTTGGTGGTGGCGCGCCAGCGTGTCCCCAATGGTCGCCTGCTTGAGCTTCGGGGCGCGCGCCGCCGCGGCCTCGCCGGCCGGGTGCTTGACAAGCTCGAATGTGATGTTGATGCCAGGGCCACCGGCCCCTGCGCCGCGGCTCTTCTGCGGCTGACGCTCGCTCGCGCCCGCGCCACGCCCCTTGGCGCCGTGGGGCCTCTGCTGTTGCTGGCCCCGGCCGGCGGGCGTGCCGCCGGCGGCGGCGGGCACCTTGCGCGCGCCCTGTGGGCGGGTGTTGGCCGCGGGGCGACTGGCAGCAGACGCCGCCGCGCCCCAGCCGGACCCAGTCTCTCGGGGGTTGCGCGCCACAGGCTTGTTTGGGGCGGGGCCCCAGCTTGCTGAGGCCGACGGCCATGTTGCGTGGCTGTGCTGGGCAAGTGCAGGGGGCTGTTGCTGCTGCTGAATTGGCTGCTGTTGTTGCTGCTGGTGCTGCCGTTGCTGCTGCTGGGGCTGCTGTTGCTGCTGCTGCTGCTGCTGCTGCTGCTGCTGCTGCTGCTGCTGCTGCTGCCGCTGCTGCTGCTGCTGCAGGTTGTCGTGGGGCAACAGCAGAGCCCGATCCCACTCCTGCTCGTGCTTTTGGTGTTGCCTCTCCTGCCGGTGTCGAAGGTACTGCTGCTGCTCTGTTAGCTCTGACTGGTAGCGCCAATGCTGCTGCTGCTGCTGCTGCTGCTGCTGCTGCTGCTGCCGCTGTTGCTGACGCTGCTGTGCCTGACTCTGCTCAGGATCCAGGTGTTGCGCCCCATGCTCCTGTCGCTGCCTTTGCTGCTGTTGTTGCTTTGACGGCTGCCAATCAGCAGGTGCCCTTTGCATCAGCCATGGCACAGACGCGAGGGCCGACTGAGGTGCGAGGCTGTGATTTTGGCGGCGCTGCAGGCGGCCTGGTACTTGCCAGCCCTGCTGATGGGCTTGCGGTCCGCCTTGGTCCCATGCCTGCCAGCTTGGCCCCGAGTGCTGCTGCTGCTGCTGCTGCTGCTGCTGCTGCTGCTGCTGCTGGTGCTGGTGCTGTTGATGCTCCTGCTGCGGTCCACCATTCTCAAGGCTCACTGGCTGAGCCCCCTCATGTGGCCGCCAGTGCATCCACACGGCTTGCTCAGGTGCATGCTGCTGCTGCTGCTGCTGCTGCTGCTGCTGCTGCCCTTGCACCTGCGTCCGCTGCTGCTGCGCTGGTAGCCGCTGCTGTTGCTGCTGCTGCCATTGCTGCCGTGCCCGAAATGAGCTGCTGGCATCAAAAAAGCCCTGGCCATGCACAGGGCTGGCGCCTCGGCCGGATCGCCCTGGCACCAAAAATGACCCGTCGCCGCCACCAGCGCCCATGCCAGCGCCACAGACAAAGGTGAGCGGCTGCTCACCCCCTTGCAAGCTGCCACAGCCGTGCAGCTGCCATGCGCTGGCGTTCGCGCCAACCGCGGTGCGCTCCACTGTCCGAGCAGACGTGGTGCTCGATGGCGTTGCGCCCCATGTGCGCTGTTGCAGCGGCGCGGCGTGCGAGCCGACACCACCGGGATGATCATCCAGGAAAGCCGCCCACTTGCCCCCACTATCCCCCTGCGAGCGTGGCGCAGCACAGCATGGCTGGGTGCGAATGCACTGCGAGCGCATGTACAGTTTGCTTGCCGCATGCAGGCGGGCATGTGCGCCCCATGCGGAGAGGTGCACGCATGCACAATAAATCAATGTCAAGCAGGGCAGGCGTGACGGTCGCAGGTGCCTAAGCAACCTGCGGCGTGCTGGCTTGGGCAGGCGGAACGTGCGGTACGTGAATCAAAGGATTGTAGTAGCCCTGCTGCATGCTGTTCACTGCTTAATTAAGAGAACATTGACTGGCGGGGCACGCAGCCGCGCGTGAGGTCGCGGTGGCGTGACAGCCCACGATCGCATTGAACGGAGGGCGCCGCTGCATTCGACAATAGGTGCGCTGGGCGATGCAGCCGGTTCATAAGCGCAGCGTGGGAATGATTTCCTCCCATATTATGCATAAATGACGGCGGCAACGGAGGATGCCGGGGCAGCCCACGCTGATATGCACAGATCGCGCGCTGCACCCGAGTTTTGTACAATACTGTATCTTGGAACGACGCACTGGTGATTGTCATCATCTGAGCTGCACATGGTCATACCGTGTAATCGAAGACACTGACAAATGGGATGAGCAGCTGCTTGTTGTTGGCCTGTCCAGACCTGGTTCACACCTGCGTTGCTCCAGTGCCCCTGGCAAGCGCCACCTGCCCTAAGCGCGCCAGAACCAGATGCCAACAAAGGGTGAGTTGAGCATGTTGGAATGCGGCCACGCCGGCAAGCCCCGCAAGGGTTGACCATCCTGACTTGCCGAAAGTCACTCCCTCGATCAGGGGTAGCGTTGACAAGAGAAATTACTGCATGCCGCCACGCCGTTCGTAGGGAACGCTTTTGAACATTTTACACAAGCTTCATTTGTTAGGGTGTAACAAAAGTGAGGGGCCAGTTTGCACTGGCAGAGATTCGTCGGCAGTGCTGAGTCATCGAGCGTTGTGAACACTGTCTGGACCGAAGCCAATGGCCTGCGCGACAACGGTGCGCTGCGCCCGCCACTCGAACCGGTCAGGTGTCACGGCGCAAGGGGTGCCGCAGTGTCTGTGTTGAGAAACGCGCCGTGCGTTATGAATGCACGCGCGTTCATCAAGCAAGAGGCACCGCAGGCCAGTGCAGCTGCAGTCGTTCATTCTGATGTGGCATGGCGGCCCATCCCTCGCTGCGATGTGCTCCTCCGCCGCCGCACAGACGGGTCGGCTAAGAGTGCGCGAAAAGGTGTGTACTTCACATGTGCGTGTATGTGCGTGTGTGGTGGCATGGGTTGCCACGCTTTTCGTGATGACACGCAGGGTACCGGCACTGCCATCGCTGCCCAGGGTTGGGATGCGAACGCGTGTGCAGGCCTCAGTGCTGCCCCCCAAAACTTCAGGAACACCATCATCAGGGAAGTGAGCTCTACGGACGGCTGCTCTGCACGCCACATGACCCGGGAAATGTCGAAAGGCGCAAGCACCGCTGCTGGTGGGCAGATCAGTTGCGCTTCGCAAACGGGTGGAAGGAGGGAGTCAGGAGTGCGAGGGAGCAAGGAGTGCTCCCTCGGCATGCCGCGAACGGGCAGGACCTTGCCAGCTTGCCAGCTTGCAGATCCCATAAGTAGTGGGCCATACGCGCCCGCAGCGGGGGCTGGCCCCTAGAGGCGGCTGCTGGAGGCGGCAGCAGCCAAGTACACGAGTGCACGCCCCCCAAAAGCGCACGGACACACACAAAACACCAAGATGCATGGATGGGCGGGCAGGAGTGGCACTTTGATCCCCGGATGCATATGCAGAAGACGCATCATACGTAGGTGTTTTAAAGCAAGAGAGGCGGAGCAAGGTAGCGGCGGTGCTCCCGGTGCTCTTAGAGGAAGGTAGAAAGGTCAATTGTACCCCACCAGCAGTCATTGGTGACGTGCCCCCAGCCCGTGCAGACAGGGATCCTGCAGACGCGCGCCGCTCCCCTGTCGGCCCCTCGGCGAGCCCTGGCACGCCGAGCGGCGTCTCCTGCCGCTTGCCAGCCCCGCGGCCCTGAGGAGCGGGCGCGGCGCCAGCCGACACGGCCGGCGCCTGTCGTCGCAAGGGGCCACATCGCGAGGGTAGCTCGGCCCCGGTCAAAGGTAAGGGTCAGTCGCCACAAAGCGTGGGCTTTGAAAGTGTGGGTGTCCTTGAGCATTGGGAGCCGCCCGCGGGCTTGTTGCCTGCGTGAAGACATGCACGCCTGAAGCTAGGCCCAAGAAAACCCCTGTAGTTCAGTGCGGACCCGGGGCCCCATCTGCAGGGGCGCGAGCTCGCTGCAGAGCGCCAGAGCGTCCCGATTTCCGAAAGCCATGCGTTGGTACGTCATCAGCCCTGCTCTGCCAGCCGTGCCGGCACGCAAGAGACCAGGGCGCGGGCGACTGGCGGACGCCCCGGCGGCACCAGTGTTGTGTGCAGCGCCATGCGCGAGACCAAACAGCCCCCCTGCAAAGGAAGGGGCTGCAGTGTGGAAGGGCAGGCGGGGCGCAGAGGTCGGCGCCGTGCTATATGCTGTGCGATGCTGCGTATGCTATGGCGTCATCTGAGCCGCAGGTGACGGATCCCCAAGCACCCAAACGGCAGCAGTCGAAAGAGACCTGTTGGCCAGCTCAGTGATAAAAGGCCCCCACACCCAGCGCGGCGCGAAACAGACACAGGATCTCTACCAGCGGCTCATGAGCAGGCCGTCCCACTCTGTTGGTTGTGCGGGCGGCGAGGGCGCCGCACAGCGCGCATGCAGACTCGCAGCGAGCGACAGGCGTCAGAAACAGGCACAGTCGCCTCTGTTTTGCGCCACGCCGGCCTTGTGCCGTGCGTGGCAGGAGCGAGCCCCGGTTTTCTCCGCAACCCCTGGACATATCGCCTTGAAAAAGGCGGGAGTGTATTGCTGGTGCCAGCAGGCGGCACACGAATTCCCCGGCTTGCTATGCAGGTTGTCCCCCCAGAGTGTGCCGCCCAGATCACAGTGCGCCTCAGCTCATCCAGTCCAGCAGCATGTCCAGATCCACGTCCTCCGCCAGATCGATCTCGCCATGCCCATGCCCCTGGCCGCAGTCCGCGAGCTGCTGCGCCTCCGCATGCGCATAGCCATGCGTGAGCGGCGCGGGCACCTCATATGCCAGCGCATGCGCCGCAGCCGCCGACGCGTCATGGTGCGGGTGGCAGCCGTGCACGCCGCCGAGCGCGCAGCCGCCGCCTGCGACCAGGTCGGCGTGGGGCGGAGCTGCCATGAACTCTGCAGGGTGGCCTTCAGCACCAAAGCCGTAAGGGAGCAGCGCCCCGGCCGCGCCCTCAGAGAGCTGCGGTAGCAGCATGTGCGAGTGCGCGTGGCGGTGCAGCGCGTGCAGCTGCTGCTGCACCTGCGCGAGGTGCCGCTGCTGCTCATACAGCTGCTGCTGCTGCAGCGCCTGCGCCTGCTGCTGCTGCAGCAGCGCCTGCAGCTGCTGCGCGCGCTCCTGCCGCCGTTGCAGCAGCTGCAGTCGCTCGTGCAGCTGCTCCCTGAGGCCGCTGTCTTGGGACACCCGCTGCCTCAGCTGCTCCTCCTGCTCTGACAGCTGGGCCGCCAGCAGCCACGGCTGCGCGCCGTACTCCGCGGCGGCTGTGCCTGCCCTGAGCGCAGCCGCGCCGCAGCGCTGGTCCGTGCTCGGGCTCGCCGTCGCACTGTGCCCCTGAAAACCACCACGCGGGACGGCCGCCGACGCGCCGGGCGCGATGGCCGGCGACGCTGGCGGCAGGCCGGCGGCCGCGAACTGCGACATAGGCGCAGACACGGCGTGCTGGAGCTGCAAACGGCCGTGCAACGCCACGTCTGTGGGCGTGGCGTGGGGCCAGTTGTGCCCCCCAAAATCGACGCAAGTGGCGCTGCTGTCGAAGCTGCCGCTCCAAGTGGCCGTGGCGCGCTGCTGCTGCTGCTGCAGCTGCTGCTGCCCGCCCGCCGCCGGCGACGCCGCCCCACCATCGCCGCAGCGCCCTAGCGGCGACAGGTAGCCGGCGCCGTTCAGCACGGAGTACACCTCCGCCGCGGCGGCAGCGGCAGCTGTCGCAGCGGCGGCGCGCGGCGGGGCGCCCAGGTCCGGTAGACCAGGCAACGCCTGCAAAGCGCCACCAGGCAACGCCATTGCAGCCGCGAAAGCCGCCGGGTCGTGCTTGATCTCAGGCATGCCCCCGCGCTGCTGTTGTGCGTTGGCACTGAGGCACGCAGGCGCGCCGCCAGGCGCGTCCCCAGCGCCAGGCGCGCCGCCTGCGGCCTTGACCGCATGCGGCCCAGGGGCGACGTCGCAGCTGCTGCTGCTGCTCGCGCGCCGCTCGGGCGCGGGGGCGTCGGCCTCGCTGGCGCCGGCCTGCGCGCGTGCGCGCTTCTGGGCGCGCGCAGCGGCGCCGCGGGCGTTGAAACCGTTCTCGCGCACTGCGCCCATGACCTGCGGGGTTTCGCAGTGGGGGGCAGGGGGCTGGGTCCAGCACAGATACTTGCGGGGTCTGGATTTAGGGTCCCAACACCCTGCTTAATACCACAGTCAGGACGCTCAACGCGCAAGACCTTCCCTTGCCGTGCTGGCTGGTTCCAGAACACGTGCCCTCCCCCAGTTTTGCGGCCGCGCGGCGTGGGCGCATGCTCACCCGCTTGCTGCCCGAGCTGCGCGCCACCTCCCCGGCGTCCCTCATCTCTGGATTGGCCAGCAGCCACTCCAGGTCGGCCCCCTGCTCGAGGTACCTGCGCACGTGGATGCAGCGAGACGGTCCGGAGTAGGGCGGGGTTGGGGATGCGCACGGTGAGCGCAGACCCTGGGGCGGCAGAGATGCTCGGCTCAAGAGCGCTGCAGCGTTGCAGACCCCGCGCCTGGCGCCTGCAACGCCAGGTTCCCGTCGCGCCGGCCAGTCGGAGCAGAGCGCGGCGACCTGCCCGCGTGCGCGAGAAGCTGCACCAGTGCTGCTGCACGCCCACAGAGCAGCCTTCGCTGGGCAGCAACGCCTCTGAATCTGAGGCGGTCCCGCGGCCCCAAAAACCCGTCGGCCCCTGCGCGCTTGCCTGTTCTTGAGCGTCCCGGCCAGCGCCCTCCTGTTGAGCGTCGCGTGCCAGTGGTTCTTGACGGCGTTGTCGGTGCGGCACTGCAATAGGCGCGCGATGGCCGCCCAGCGGTTGCTGTATTTTGGGAGGGCCTGGGCCTGTGACCAAAGGCGGCGGGCGCGGTCCAAGAGAGGGGGCCTCAGGCGGGCAGCGGTGGAGAGCCCCAGGCCGCAAATTCCGGACACGCAGGAAAAGCTGGGTGTGCGCAGGGGAGAGTGCATTCGCAGCTGCAGGGCGGCGGCCAGGTGCGAACGTCGCACGCCCCGTGGCGCTCCCAAAACCCTGGCGTCGCCCCGGCTGCAGCGGCGCCGGCCGGCCGCGGCGCGGCGCGGGAACGGGGCCTCGGGCGCTGGCGGCAGGGCGGTTCGGAGGTTGACGACGACGTGTGGCCTCACCTTGACAATCACCGCCTGCTCCCACTCAGTGAAGGGTGTCTTGTTTACACCAGGGTCAAGCTGGTTGTGCCACCTGTCCAGGCGCCGCGCAGCAACGGTCGGCGGGATGTGAGCGGCGGAAGCGTGCGTCGGCCGTGGCGCCAGCGCCGGCGGCGCGACGGGCAGGTGGTGCAGCGGCGGCGGCAGTGGCGGCGGCGGCGGCAGCAGCAGTTCGGCACTTGATGATGGCTCAAGCAAAGGTAGGTCTGCCAGGAGGCCCAAAAGACTGGTCTGCCAGGGGCTGGGGCGGGCGCCGCTCCAGGAAATCACCTGAGCCTGCAGCTCTTGCCGCTGCGTATGCCGCCCATGCGAGTGGCTACGCGGGTCCAGCTTTTGGTCCCCACTTCTGACACCAGGGTGCACAGCAGCGCATCCTCCTGCGTGGGTTGAGGGTGGGGCGGAGTGCTGGTCGGGCAGGGCCCTGCGTCAACGCAGCTGTCGCGTTGGCCGTGCTGATGGCGAGAAAAGGTGCTCATTGGCCGCGAATCACTGGGTGCCATGTTGTTGGGCTTGGGGCAGCATACGCATTGGCGCCGCGGGAGAGTTGCGCTGGCCTGCGGTCTGCGGCACCTCAATCGACAGCAAACAAATATGCTTCATCAACGCGGGCGACGCCGCTGCGCCGCGCTGCTCGCTGAATAGCTGATTCAACCTGCTCATGCTCCTATCGTATTATACCCCGCGCACGCCCACGAGGCACTGGCACGGGCACCCGGGGCTCATCATCACTTCGTGGACGCTGGCCGCACAGGCTTCGCCTGCGCAAGTAGCCATCATGCTTACCTCCTCAGTCCACGCCCCGGTACGACGTACACCGTCATCCATCCCAGGGCTCCCACCGCTGCGCCCTCTCGGCTCACAGGTTCCGAGTCACGGTTTGAAGCACGGGTTGCATGGACTTATCAAGTGTTGCTTTCAGGTTTTCAATGTGTGATGTGCCATTCTGTCAGGACGCATGAGAATGCGGCGCAAGACCGTCCAAAACACCGGGACACTCGGAGTGACTGTGCACATCATGTGCTCACGCGTGGGCTGTGAATCGGTATCCACCCACCGATAAAGCTCTAGTAAGCTTGTTCGACTACATATGCATGGCTTTGCACCGCAGTCCTTGAGGAACAGTGCAGATGCTGCTGTTGGGGCGTCTGTCATCAGTGGGAAGTTGACACCAATTTATTGTAGAGCTTGAGAACCAGCTCTCACGTTCCACTGTGTGTTGTCCAGGTGCGCAGCACGTGGCGTTTGTGCAGCAGGTGCTGCAGCATACAGCAAGAAAATCAGCGGCAAGACTTGCAGACCAGCTGCTGGCATGTGCCCTGTGGGCAGCCACTCCACACCTGGCATTATTTTGCCGTCAAGCCCCTGCAGGATGAGTTGCTTCATTCTTTCTGCACCGCTGGACTGTTTCTCGCTTTGATCTGTGGCAATCCCTATCCCACAGGGCCGGCGGCGGCCCCAAGCAAAACCGCCACAGCAGAGCAGCCAACCGCGCAATCTGTACAGGAGAGCGCCACATCCGTGCGAAGACAGGATTTTTGCGCAAGGTACACGCACACGCACTTGCATTGCCAGCCAAAGGATGCCGCGCCTTGCAGGGTGCAACGTGTGATGGCGTTCGGCGGGCTGCGTGCCCTGCCGACGGGGCAGGCAGATTATACAGCATGGTGAGCAGATGCTACAGCAGGCCGGCCGCCGGTCCCAGTACCGGCCTCACAGGTTCATCCGCACAATCGAGCGCGTCGCGTCCGACTTGACCCCGCCCCCCGGCCGCCACGCGCCGCCGGCGCCACGCGCGGCTAGCCGCTCGCGCTCCTCCTTGCGCGCGGCGGCACGCGCGGCGATGCGCGGCTCCTCCGGGTCGTGTACGTACTCTGGAAACCGCTCAAACGTCGCCTGCCGCCCCTTTTTCGGGAACGCCGCCGGCCTGAACGCACCCGAGGGGCCGGCCGCGCCTGCGGCGCCGCCTGCGCCCCCTGCGTCGGGGCTGTCGCCCGCGGCAGCGCCGGCGCCGGCAGGGCCCGCGGGCGGGGCGGGGCGCGGC